TGCTATATAGGTTTGGGCAAGCTTGTATTAATCCATGTTTCATCTACGTTCTGACCATCTAATTTTTCTATAACAAAAAATGGGATTTTTTTTATTTGGTCAATGCCTTGACCCTGTTTATTGTACAAAAAACAAAAAAGATGAAAAAAAGGAAACACTGCACCCGAACCACTTCATTGAGATGAACTGGTCTGAGTGCCTTTAGTGGTTCTTTAAATCCAAATAGCAAAACTCAGTATAGCCGAGTTGAATCATTTTTGAAAATCAACTATAACTTTGCCAAATTGCTTAAAAAAAAAAGAAAAAGGAAAACGATATTCAGTTTAAAGATTACCTTTCTGCATTACGGGTAAATTTTAAAGTGATAAACAGATTGTGTACGTATCTATCATATAGCAGGAAAACTGTCATAAAAAAGCTTTCACAATAAACAGCAGATAACGTAAAATAGAGGAATTTATAGGCAATAAAAATGAAATGTGGCCTTTTGGAGTTCACGACCTCTACCAACCCCATATGCTGCAAAAATTAAATTAATTTATTTCTGAATGTACTGTGGCGGCCACCGCCACTATGTACCATGCCCACTGAATATTCATATGTTTGGCCCTTGTATTTTGTGTTCCCAATGCTTATTCCCACAATTTTTCCTTAAAGGGACACTATAGTCACCAGAACAACTACAGCTTATTGAATTTGTTCTGGTGAGTAGAATCATTACCCTCAGGCTTCTTGCTGCAAACACTGTCATTTCAGAGAAAATGCAGTGTTTACATTACAGCCTAGTGATAACTTCACTGGTCACCCCTCAGATAGCTATTAGAGATCCTTCCTGGGTCATGGCTGCCTAAAATGCATCCAAACATTCAGTGTCTCCTGCCTCTGTATGCAGACAATGAACATTCTTCATAGAGATTCATTGATTCAATTCATCTCTATGAGGAGGTGCTGATTGGCTAGGGCTGTGTTTGCATCATGCTGGCTCTGCCCCTGATCTGCCTCTTTGTCAGTCTCAGTCAATCCTATGGGGAAGCATTGTGATTGGATCAGGCTATCACTTCTGATGATGTCAGCAGACTGCTTGTTTTTTTGAGGCAAACAGCATGCAGAGTTATAGCTTCAGCTTAAAAACAGTAAGATTTTTACTATATTTAGGGAGGCATGAGGGGCCCAGGGGGGCTAGATGGGGGTGTTAACACTATAGTGTCAGGAATACATGTTTATGTTCCTGACCCTATAGTGATCCTTTAAATTCTGTGTTTCCCCATGCAATAGTGATGTATTTGTGTGTTTTATCTCGTAACGAGGTGTTAAAACCACAAACCGCAAGGGTAACAAGTGGAGCATGCTTCCCCTGGGTGGCCTCCGGTTCGTATAGCCGAATGTCCACCAGGGGTATAATTTGTTTCCCAAACGGACTTGCTCACATGGTTCTCAGGTCCCCGTGTCGGGGATCACCCTACCTGCTCCCAACTGAGCTATAATTACTGGTTACCCCCCTGCCCGTGAGCTACGGGGCTAGGCTCATAGCTGCCCAAGAGAGCGCTCTCCCCGGTGCTACCTGAGTGGAGGTAGCCCCCAATAGGGACACAAGCCCCAGCGGCATCCCTGGAGCTGTGAGTCGGCTACACAGCCACAGGGGTCCCACTGGCCACACGGAAGTCCATGTCGACCAATGGGATAGGGCGCATCCATTCAGACTGGGTTCACGCCATTCTCATGATTGGTCGACACAAACAGGTGCTGATTGGTCGCTGCCGGGCGCAGGTGACCAATCAGAGAAGCTGCGCTCTTTCAAATGGGGTTTTGCGCCCTTCCTCCTGATTGGCTAGTGAAACCCCTCTCCTCCCTGAGCGCCGATTGGTGTACCTGAGTTTCGCGCCATTTTGCCTGATTGGGCGGTAAAACTCCTCTCCTCCCTGCAAGTTGATTGGCACGATTTGGTTTCACGCCTTTCAGATGATTGGTTGTTGCTTGGTTTATGCGCGAAGTTTGAATTCGCCGGACTAAAATAAGCAACTTCATGGAACTAATTTTGGGGATGTAAAGAGCCTCGAGCCCCAAACTTTAGACGACGATTTCTCGGGCTCTGTACATCCGATCGCCCTGCTTTTTGCAGGGATCCCAGAGGGGACCCGGGGCTATCTAGTTATGTGGGTTTAATCTGTGTGACCCCTTCCCTGTATGGAATATGTTTTAATGTGTGTCCTTGTGTACTGTTGGTATCTCCCAGTGCGGAAGATGATTATCTGTAACCCAACCCTCTCCTGCCTGGGATTGTGTTGAACTGAGTGGACACCCCTTGCCCATTCAGTGCATAAAAGCTGTGTGTTCCAAAAAAAGATTGTCAGTGTTTTAACCTCCAGAGTTTTGTGTGGCATCCAGTTACTGGGGGGAAAATGGATGCCTGCTTGTTGTAAGGGTTTCTAAACGGCTGAAGGAAGGGAATTAGGGGAGGTAACTGGTCCTGGTTACCAGGTGGTCCGCTACAACTAGTGGCAAGCAATGGGATCATAGCCAAAAGAAACCAGTGACCCGTTAATGAAACAAGCATGGTGCCCAGCTACGGTCAGGATGCCCTCCATAAACAAGTGGCCTGGCGCTCTACAAAGAAACTCTCAAAGAAAGAAGAGTAGGAAACCATGACCAGGATCTACTCCAAAGCACAAGCCTATATCCTGGCACAGAGAGATTGGGCGAACCCCTCACCCCCCCCACGAACGGCAGGCAGAGGAAGTGACCCCAGGGATTCTGACAGCCACTATGTTCCTGGAACTCAGAGAAATGGATGTAGCATCCCGACATGAAGAGGAGTTCCAGTAGAGACTGCAGGAATGGCTGGATGGGAATGGGTGCCCAGCCTCGGACCCGAGTGACCTGGATCTTAGGGACCAGGTCCGAATGGAACTCTGGAACATGGTACTGGGTGAAGTTCTGGTTCTCCAAAGGGAGCCGCTTCCAACTCCAGAGCAGCGACTACAGGATCAGCTGGACCTGCGGATACCTTCCTGGGAGAGCAGCCCCTGGAGGAGTGGGTGGTTGAACTGGATCGACTGGTCTGGAGAAAACTGGGGGTAGACGATGGCTACAGAGCCCTTCAATGACATGCAGTCAAACTGTACCTATGGCTAGCTGAGGGCGATCCTCTAGAGGGATATGACTACAATGGCCCTGGTCTCCTTTGGGAGTATTTGGGAGACCTGGTTTTCCCAGGCTAAAAAGACTTTATGTTTAAGTCACCCTGTACCTATCAGGATTACTGTATGATCCAGCACGTAGAACTGTATAGCCTGAATGACAAATAAGTAACGTATTACCGGTCCTTAGAATGGCCGGATTTAACGTACATAGAATAGTCAAAATACTAGCCGAGGTCAGGGAAAACAGAAAGGAATCCAACGATGAGGAAAGCCAGGAGTCAGGATACCAGAATACAGAGAAGTCAATAAGCAAAGCCAAAGTCAAAAACCAGTAGAAAACTATAAACAGGAACATGCTCTCGGACAACCACATGGGAAACCACGACAGGGCACTGAGTGGAGGTCAGACTAGGTTTTTATATCCATCCTCCCTTTCCCATTGGTGCCCCGAAAAAACCTAGAATCCACAATAGAAGATACCTCATACTCTTCCTGACCACCCACCACCACTGGAGGGGGAGGAACACAAGGAACAGTATATTTATTGAGACAAGAGGTTTGAGTTAGGACACATGAAAAGTGTTGGGAACCCCTAACGATGCAGGAAGATCCAGAAAGTAAGACACTGGATTGATCCTACGAAGCACTTTATAGGGACCAAGGAATCTGGGGCAAACTTCATGCTAGGGACCTTAAGCTTGATGTTGCGAGACGACAACCAAACCCGGTCACCCACTTGGTACACCGGGTTGACACTCCTACGCTTATCAGCAAAATGTTTGAAGCGTTCAGCAGCAGCCCCCAGAGCAGTTTGAACCTTAACTCAGGTATCCCGAATGGAGGCAAGACGCTCATCCAGAGCAGGAATGGCAGTATCAGAAAAAAACGCATGGAGAACCATAGAATGCCTACCATTACTGACAAAAAATGGACTGTGCCCAGAGGAGTCATGAACAGCATTGTTTCTAGCGAACTCGGCTCACAGGAGTAGTTCGGACAAATTGTTCTGTGTGCTATTAACAAAACAACGCAAATAAACTTCTAATGACTGGTTAGCCCTCTCAGCTGTACCATGGATGGTAGGAGGAGGAGAAGGAGAGATCAATCCCCAATTGTTTACTGAACGCCCTCCAGAACCTGGACACAAACTGAGAGCCCCTATCAGACACAATATTGTGAGGGATTCCATGCAAACGGACAATTTCACGTATGAAAATTAGGACCAATTCTTGCGAAGATGGCAACTTCTTGAGAGGAATGAAGTGAGCCATCTTAGAAAATCGGTCTACAACCATGAGAATAGTAGTGAACCCAGCAGGAAGCTCAACAATAAAGTCCATGGACAAGTGGGACCATGGAATCTCAGGAACAGGAAGAGGCTGCAACAGGCCACAAGGAAGTGCATGAGTCACCTTAGAAACTGCACACACAGAACATGCCTGCACATACTCTTTTACATCTTTCCTGAGTGAATCCCACCAAAATGATCTAGTGATCACGGCAGTGGACTTATTGATGCCCAGGTGTCCAGCAGTTACATTGTCATGATATTAACCCTTTCACATAGGGGAACGAACAGTTTATCACATGGTTTACCACTGGGTGCCTGAGGCTGGGCCTCCAGTATGGTGCCAAGCAGTGGAGAAGACAGTGAGAGGACAGTAGTAGCAATAATACACAATGGCGGAATAATAGATGTCACCGGTTCCGGAGCTGATTCATTATCAAACTGCCTGGACAAGGCGTGAGCCTTGGTATTTTTAGAACCAGGTCTATAATTAATGAGGAAGTTAAAACGTTAAAGGAACAGTGACCATCTAGCCTGTCTGGAAGAGAAACGTTTGGCGTCCCCTATATACGCCAGGTTTTTGTGGTCGGTTATGATCAACAGGGGGTCCTTGGAACCCTCCAAAAGATGTCGCCATTCCTTGAGGGCAAGAATAATGGCCAACAGTTCTCTATTGCCAATATCGTAGTTGCGCTCAGCAGGAGACAGCTTTCTGGAGAAGTAGCCACAAGGATGCAATGGTGTTCCCTGGCTTTCTCTCTGAGAGAGAACAGCTCCTACCCCTGTCTCGGATGCATCAACCTCCAATATAAAAGGTTTACTGGTGTCGGGATGTTTTAGTATGTCCGCAGAGGCAAATCTTTGTTTAAGAGTCTCAAAAGCATTCACAGCCTCTTTGGACCATACCGTGCTACTAACCCCTTTGCGAGTCATATTAGTGATGGGGGCTATTACAGAAGAAAATCCCTTGATGAATCTTCTGTAATAGTTGGCAAAACCAATAAACCTTTGAATTGCTTTTAAACCAGAGGGTAATGGCCAGTGTAGTACAGCCTCTAGTTTTTTTAGGATCCATTTGAAACCCAGATACAGAGATGTTGTAACCCAAACAGTGGACTTCAGGCTGGTCAAAAATGCACTTTTCTAATTTACAATAAAGTTTATTTTTCAACAACATCTGCAGAACCACATGGGAGTGGTGAGTTTGAAGATCAGGGAAATACACCAAAATATCATCCAAATAAACCAAGACAAATGAGTAAATGAATTCCCTGAGTACATAATTTATAAAGTCTTGGAATACGGCCAGGGCGTTGCAAAACCCAAATGGCATTACCAGATACTCATAGTGTCCACTACGGGTATTAAATGCCGTCTTCCACTCATGATTCTCTTTAATTCTAACCAAATTGTAAGCGCTCCTAAGGTCGAGCTTAGTAAGTACTTTAGCCCCCTGTAGTCTATCGAACAATTCGGAAATGAGTGGGATAGGGTATGCATTTTTTACAGTGATTTTATTAAGTGCCCTGTAGTCTATGCAAGGGCGTAACTCACCACCCTTTTTCGAAACAAAAAAGAATCCTGCACCAGCTGGTGAGGATGACTTTCTTATGTGCCCTTTGCTCAAAGATTCTCTGATGTATTCCTCCATTATTTTACTCTCCTGGGGAGATAAAGTATAAACTGCCCCCTTAGGAGACATAGCGCCTGAAAACAGGTTAATGGCACAGTCATATACTCTGTGGGGAGGCAATACATCGGATTGAGCCTTGTTAAACACCTTTCTGAAGTTCTCGGTATTGTATGGGAACTCCAGGAGTTTGGGGAGTGGTAGTGGGAAGGTCAATAGTACCCAATCTCTTTATTACTGGTTTTATACATCTCCCCATACACTTCTTACCCCATTCCAATATTTCCCCATTAGCCCAGTCAATATAGGGATTGTGCTTACTCAGCCACGGAAGCCCTAATATGATAGGACATGATGGAGAAGTAATAATCTGAAACGTCATCTCCTCCCTATGGGAGGCCCCAATAGAGACCGTAATAAGGACAGTTTTGTGGGTTATAAGCGGTTGTGTGAGTGGTCTACCATCAATAGCCTCTACAGCTAGCGGCGTAGGTCTCTCCCTGACTGGTATCTCATTACCCCTAATAAACTGGACATCAATACAATTTCCAGCAGCACCTGAGTCCATTAGGGCACTGCAAGAAAACTTCTTGTTATCAAGGAAAATAGATACCTCAAGGAGGAATCTACTTTTATTTTTGTTAGAGGACAACTCCATCACACCCAAGACCTGTCCCCTTAAAGCGGCACTGTCATGCCGAACTTACCTTTCCTCAATCTCTTCCTCTTCTCCCCCTCTCTCAGGATCTGTTATTCTTTTCTTCCTATCTTCTTTAATTTTCTATAAAATCATAAGACAAAGAAGGGACTCTTTGCCTTATGGAGGATTCCTCCGCTTGACCAGCTCTGACCAGCGGAGGAGCAAAGTGTGCTTCATTTCCGCTGGTCAGAGCAATTTTCCCATGATCCTTACCTTCCCTCTGTGTTCCCACAATGCTTCCTGTCACTTTCCACAAAACTGCCGAACTGTGTTCTAACTGAATGACAACAGTATGTTCATTTCTTTTAGAACGCAATTCGGCACTTTATTCGGATCGGAGTTTCATTCTAATGAATGAAACTCTGATCCTATTCATTGCTGTGGCTGCATCTTGCAGCCGCTTAGTAGATAACTCCCTAATTCCCACGGTATCAGGGAGTTATCTACTAAAAGGCTGAAAGACCTAAATTGGTCTTTCAGCCAACTTTACTAATACTAAGTAAAGATTACTTAGTATTAGTAAATTAAATGCCCCTACTCGCTATACCGCGAGTAGGGGCATGTGTAGTAAGCAGTGAGCAGCTTATAGCTGCTCACTGTAAAAAAAAAACAAAAAAAAACTAATAACCCCCCCCCACTCCCCCCATGCCCGTGGGGGCCCTAAATAAAGATGGGGGGGAACCTGGCCCCTGGCCCCCACCCCTGAGCGGTGGGTGGGGGCCCTAAATAAAGATATGGGGGGGGAACTTCTGTCCCCCCCTTGGCCCCCACCCCTGCGTGGTGGGTGGGGGCCCTAATAAAACAATAAGGGTGGGGACCTACTGTCCTCCCCCCCTGGCCCCCACCCCTGAGCGGTGGGTGGGGGCCCTAGTAAAACAATAAGGGGGGGGGACTTACTGTCCTCCCCCCCCCGGCCCCCACCCCTGAGCGGTGGGTGGGGGCCCCAATAAAACAATAGGGGGGGACCTACTGTCCTCCCCCCCTGGCCCCCACCCCTGCGCGGTGGGTGGGGGCCCTAGTAAAACAATAAGGGGGGGGACCTACTGTCCTCCCCCCCTGGCCCCCACCCCTGAGCGGTGGGTGGGGGCCCTAGTAAAACAATAAGGGGGGGTGACCTACTGTCCTCCCCCCGGCCCCCACCCCTGAGCGGTGGGTGGGGGCCCTAGTAAAACAATAGGGGGGGGACCTACTGTCCTCCCCCCCTGGCCCCCACCCCTGAGCGGTGGGTGGGGGCCCTAATAAAACAATAAGGGGGGGGACCTACTGTCCTCCCCCCCCGGCCCCCACCTCTGAGCGGTGGGTGGGGGCCCTAAATGAAACACCCCCCCCCAATCAAGGTGACTAGGGGTCCCAAGCCCCTAGTCACCACCCCCCCTCCCAAAAAAACCTATCCCCTACCTACCCCCCTCACCCTACAAATAGTGAGGGGGGGAATAAAATAACTAACCTGTAAAAAAAAAAAATTAAACTTACCATTTGACATCTTCTTTTTTCTAAAATCTTCTTTCTTCAGCCCCCAAAAAGGCCAAATAAAAATCCATTACACCCGTCGCACTTTAAAAAAAAAAAAAAACGAGCGCAAAAAAAAATTAATCCAAGTTCGCCCTTCGAGGGCACGCCGCATACTGAGCTCCGCAGGGCGGGTCAAGGCTTATAAAGCCTTGCCCCGCCCTGCAATTAGGCTCAGAACACTCTGATTGGTGGGTTTAAGCCAATCAGAGTGTTATGAGTCATTTTACACAGCGTGGGAAAATTCAAAAGAACTTTCCCACGCTGTGTAAAATGACTCAGAGCACTAGGTAATGTGGCGGGCTTAGGGGCATTTGGGGGTGACTAGTGGGTCAATTGGATGTAGTGGAGGCGGGAGGGGGGTTAAAAAAAAAAACGGGATTCGGCATGACAGTGACGCTTTAAGTAGTTGCATGCATTTACTTCAAACAGCTTAGTATCTAGATATATCAGCTTAGTATACATCACCATTAGAGGAGCTTGGTTTTCTCCTTGCCACACATGACTGGGGGGAACTCAGGCAGTCACTCTGAGAGACGCTCTCTTCTGGGAACAGCAGAAACCAGTAACACGCGTCCGCATTACTGGTGGGTAGTTCTCCAAGGGAGCGCAAGATTCCCTTAGTCTTATATACTTGTCTTCAAGGACGGTCAGTAGTTCCTTATCACTGCAGCCCAGCAAAAGACCTCAATACAACAGCTGGATGGACCTGGCAGTTGGCCAGACTGTTCAGGACCACCAGAACTTATGCCAAGTCTTGTGCGGTTAATTATCTCTTATCTACAAGCTTTCTTTGTACTGTTCTAGAGATGGCAACATATGTTTTTTTGATGGCAACAGAGGTTTCTCAAACAGCTGTAGTGCTGTGTCAGCTCTTAATAGCTGTGGCATAAAGCCTTCAAGCCTGCATCTAGTAATATGTGCTATGTGTGCTTATATGCTTACCGGTGCCATCTTAACTATCTATAAATGTTTGAGTTGCTCAATAGTGATCAATCAATCATACTTAATTAATATGGAATATTATTATCACGGGGAGGTGTGGCTAGGGCTACATAAACAGAAATAAAAGTGATTTAACTCATAACTGGCAGAGATTTGAGCAGGGAGGTGGCAGGGGATTGAGCTATACACAAACTGGTTCATTATGATAGTTGTTATGGTCACTATACTACCTTTTAATAGCACAAGACGCAATCATTAACATGCTGTGTTACAGACAGACACTTTGGCAATACTGGATCTGTGCTCTGCTGCAGCACAATAACCGGGTTGGTAGGAGTAACAGTAAAGCCACTTCGCCACTGGGGTTTGGAGGGGACTACTTGCCAGCCTTTTACCCTGTGACTATAGCCCCCTTAACTTATTTTGGCTGGGAGATCCTAATTGTACCTATTGGGACTTTAAACAAGGGTTCTTAGAACTCCAACAGTCAAAGTGGCCGCCATTCAACATTCGAACACGTTGTGGCGGCCATCTTGTTTGCATGGACCAAAACCGTGAATAGAATTCAGGGGGACTTAACCGTGAATGCCCTGGAACTATTTTTGACATGAAAACCTTGTGGTTCCCGGTCAGTCCTCCAGTTCTATGGAACTGTTTTGGGCATGGGACCATGTGTGTAGGTAGTGGTTATTGTGCGGTGCGAACTAAAACAATCAAATTACATTATCCCAATTTACCCCCCAATTAAAGCCAAGAGACATAAGTGTGGTATAAACAGGCCACAGCTTTATTTATAATCATAAACATAAATCAATCAGCCAATATTTAATCGGAAAATATTGTCCTTGCCAACCAAACCATAATAACTCCCAGAGTACCCCCAACCAGGGTGACTGCCCTCCCCCCTCGTCCAAGATAACTGGCCTTTTAACTTGGCCTTCCAATTCCCCATGCCAACCCCTGGCCGCCTTTTACTGGCACGGGGGGCACGCCCAACTACCACAAACTCTCCGAGGTTAGGGGAGGGACCAGACCCAGCATTCCTTCTTCCGGTACTCGTTTTCCAACTGGTTTGGCAAGGACCATACCCGCCAGCTGTGACAAGAAAGAAAGTTAGAGATATACAATATACAACAATCAACAATCAAGGGTGGGCGGGAGGGAAGATGTTACCAGCCGTTATTCTAAGATGGCTGAGGTAAGGGACAAAATGACTGCCCTTTTATATGACCCCACCCCACCCCTAACCTAAGTGACACCCCCCAACATGTGACACCTACA